TTGCTTTTTAATGTGCTATCTAGGTTGGTCATAACTTTCCTTTCAAGGAGTAAGCATCTTTTAATTTCATGGCTGCAGTCACCATCCGCAGTGATTTTGGAGCCCCCCAAAATAAAGTCTGACACTGTTTCTAGTGTCTCCCCATCTATCTCCCATGAAGTGATGGGACCAGATGCCGTGATCTTAGCTTTCTGAATGTTAAGCTTTAAACCAACTCTTTCACTCCCCTCTTTCACTTTCATCAAGAGGCTTTTCAGTTCCTCTTCACTCTCTGCCATATGGGTGGTGTCATCTGCATATCTGAGGTTATTGATATTTCTCCTGGCAATCTTGATTCCAGCTTGTGCTTCTTCCAGCCCAGCATTTCTCATGATGTACTCTGCATATAAGTTGAATGAGCAGGGTAACAATATACAGCCTTGACGTACTCATTTTCCTATTTGGAATCAGTCTGTTTCTCCATGTCCAGTTCTAACTGTCAATGGACATTAGTTTGAGTCAACTCCAGGATGGACAGAGAGGCCTGGCATGCTGCAGTTCATGGGGTTGCAAAGAGTTGAACACGACTGAGTAACTGAACTGAACTGAACTTGTCCACTTGTGTTGGGTTGGCAACAGCTTTTTCCTGCCAAAGGTGAAATGGTTTTTGTGTCTCATCTCTCCCTACAGGGATTCGTCCCTCTTTGGGATTCAGATGGCTTTATTGGCTTGTGAGTTTATGTCTCTGATACAGTCAAGACAATTTATGTTTTTACAGACTATCCAGATATTTTTTTCTTGTTAATGTGGGAGTAACATTCTTTGTAGCTCTCTATAGCCTAACTAAAAGTCAAAGTCTCTAGGAATCAATATATTCTTAAAGCTCTTCAGATATTTCTAACAAACAAAAGGGTTGTCGAACACTTCTCGGAAAAAGGGGTTTCTTAGGATTTATAGAACTGCTGTTAGTGTGAGTGCTATTAGAATTATAAAAGCAAATCCTAATACAGTCTTTGACTGTCTTTAAAATGGAACACTTAAAGGTTTAGAATAAAGACTAATAGAGAGTATAGGTTTATGTGCTTTCCTCCACCAATTCTGGAATTTCTCTGGTCTTTGACTGCAAATTCTGCCTTCGGCTCTTAATGATTGTCCTAATTATTACCAGAAGGGAGGCGTTTACCTAATGGTAGTCACACAAATCCCTGGTGGTAAGGAATCTGCCTGCCAGTGCGGAAGGTACAAGAGACTCGGTTTCTATCCCTGGTTGAGGAAGATCCCCTGGAGTAGGAAATGGCAACCCACTCCAGTGCTCTTGCCTGGAAAATCCCATGGACAGAGGAGCCTGGCAGGCTACAGTCCATGACGTCACAAAGAAACAGACACAACTGAATGCACACACACACACACACATTCACACAAAGGATCAAAGGCAGTAGTTTGATTTCTAGCGATCATTTGTCTACTGAAATTCTGGTTCACTTCGATCTCCAGCTACTCTGGACAAGGAAAGTGTTTTGGCAGTTAAGAAGAGAATCTGTGACTGTGTCTTTCTCTTCATGCTTGTGTTTCCCTGTTGACAGAATCGTATCGCCAAGCGCAGCCGGAAGCTGGTGGACTACGACAGTGCCCGCCATCATCTGGAAGCTTTGCAGAGTTCCAAGAGGAAGGATGAGAGTCGCATCTCTAAGGTAGGGACCAGTTCCACTGTTGTCACCACTCTGTATTCTGTGACCTGTAGCAACTTTGCTTTTGAAACAAAATCTCTCTTTTCTCATGCAGATTGGAATCAGGATGGAATTTAAAAATTGAAATATGGGTCTTGTGGACTGCTGTCTATAATTTTATAAGTTAAACTAAGGGTTTTCAGGTCCTTGGTAGAATTCACTTGGGTGGCACTGACTCACACATTTTCATCATAATAAATGTTTACCCCTAACAGTACTGCCTGATCGTATAAAGTAATGTGTCCTTACACTCTTTATGTCACCGTGGTCCATGTGTGTGCATGCTAAGTCGCTCAGTTGTGTCCAACTTTTTGAAACACTTTTTGAGACACTGTAGCCTGCTAGGCTCCTCTGTCCATGGGATTCTCCAGGCAACAATGCTGGAGTGGGTTACCACGTCCTCCTCCAGGGGATCTTCCCGACCCAGGGATCACACCCACGTCTCTATGTTTCCTGCATTGGCAGGTTGGTTCTTGACCACTAGCATCACCTGGGAAATGTTCTGTGGTCCACACTTAATGCCAAAATGAAGATTCAACTAGGAAATCAAGTGTGAAATTCTCAGACGTAACTTGTGCTTGAGAGTACCGATGTCTGCTACAATTGCTTGACATTCATTTTCTTTTAAAGAACCCATCTCCAGAGCTTTCTCCATGTATGTCTCTGGTCACTGACAGCTCATTGGAGACACCTACTAACTTCTCTCTTGGCTTCCAGTCTTCTCTGGCCACATCTTCCCACACACAGCTTCCTGGACCACCTTTCTACTGCACGTACCCAGATAGAATTTCTCCAGTGCTTAAGTCTTTTAATGGCTCCCATTGCCTGTCAACAAGTTCTAAATTCCTTAGCATGGCCTATGCAACCTTCACAGCTGGATTCTGACTCACCTGTCCATTTTGTCAGCTTTCAAGTCTTCTTTCCCCTACTTTCCTTCCTCCACACAAACATCCTAATCTGGAGCTTCTATGACCTACACACCAGCTCCTAAGCAGTCACTCTAAGAGCTGAGTTTCACATCATGCCCCTGAGAAGCAAGGCACTGTGTTCAACACTTTATTTACATCCGCTTTCCTTAATACTCACAAACACCTGTGAGGTGGACATTGCTATGTTCATTTATGGATCTTAGGTGCAGAAAGGTGGTAAAGAAAGTCCGCATGGTTAGTGAGTGAGAATCCCAACCCAGGCAGCTTCACCTTTATGTGTTGTCCACCATTCCCCACCACTTCATTAGCAAACAGTTGCTCACTCTTCAAGATTCAATATCAAGTTAAAATATCACCCTTTCCATGGAACCTTCTCTAATTCTTGCGCTCTCTTTCTTAATGGCATGCTCCATAATAGCTTATGAGCCCTCTCTTGTAGTGTAATTACTTAGACTTCCCACTAGACAGGGAATTTCTTAGGAAGTATCCTGGCCCAGTATCCCAAGCAGAGCATGTAACAGTGTATGTGACAGGCAGTTAGCACAACTTTGTAGAATGAACGAATCTGCCAGAGACTGCTAGAGCAACCATTGTAATCAATCACATTTTCCTTTTTCAGTAAGATTTAACATTTCACTTTTATTGAAAATGATCATGTGAATTTTAACCAGATTTCTCTCCTTTCCAAAATATTCCAGGATGCCATAAAGCTATTTCTGTTTTATATTAAATGTTGTTGTGTCTAGAAGTGTGATATGTATGTGATGTTTTCAGTGTAAACATGTTATGTGTCATTTCTAGGCAGAAGAGGAATTTCAGAAAGCACAGAAAGTGTTTGAAGAGTTTAACGTTGACTTACAGGAAGAGTTACCATCATTATGGTCAAGGTAAAGATGGTTCTGTATACGTTATAGGTTCAGGAGTGGGGAATATTGCTTGTCTTATTTCCTGTGATGCTTTGGCACTCACTGTCCAGTAGAAGTGTTCGATATTCTGTAATTTACGATATGGTAGCTTCTTACCACATGTGGTTGACCTTGAGCACTTGGAATATATCTAGTATGACCTGGGAACTGAATTTTAAATTTACGTTATTTTGTTTCAATTCATTTAAATTTAAATAACCCAATTCGGTTAGCTACCACATTGACAGCACTGTTTTAGACTTTTATTTCTCAAGTCGAGCTACAAATCTCAATTAGAGGCATTAGGAGAACTATCCCTAACCTTGAAATTTAAAAGAGAAACTTTTAACCCTTGGAAGAACTTTTTTTATTTCAAGGGGTCATCTAGTGTCTGCCTTTTATGTGAAACCTCTACTATCAGCTCTCACCTGTTAATCTGAGCTTCATTCTTATTTTGTATATGAAATACTCTTCTTTTTTATGGGTACTCTGCATTTCTCATTCCATTAACTTCAGTTTTCCCATTTAGTAGTAGAATCAAGAAGTTGCTGGGTGAAGTGGGGTCTTATGTCTCAGTTTTCATCAGCACACCCATGCTACCACCCTGAATAAACAGGATTGTGTTTGTCATGCAACACTGCTTTAAGTAAAATTCTAAATCTTGGTTAGGATGTGGAGGACAGGGAACCCTCCTACACTATTGGTGACATTGTAAATTGATGCAGCCACTATGGAAAACAGTATGGAGGTCCCTCAAAAAATTAAAAATAGATTTACTATATGATCCAGCAGTCCCATTCCTAGGAATATACCTGGACAGAGCTATAATTAAAAAAGATACATGCACCCCTATGTTCATAGCTGCACTATTCACAATGGCTAAGACATGGAAGCAACTTGAATGTCCATCAACCGAGGAATGGGTAAAGATATGGTATATGTATACAATGGAATACTGCTCAGCCATAAAAGAACAAAGTAATGCAATTTGCAGCAACATAGGTGCACCTAGAGATTATCATGCTAAGTGAAGTAAGTGAGAAAGACAAATACCAGATGGTATCAAATGTAGAATCTAAAGTATGGCACAAATGAATATATGTGTAAAACAGACACAGACTCATAGGCAGAGCATGCTTCTTCCATTGAAGGGGGCTCAGGGGGAAGCAGTGACCAGCTCACTTGGGTGAGACAGGCTTCCCTCAGGGCAGAGGGGAGAGTGTCCCGGCCTGCATTCTGGGACTGCAGTGGGCTCAGCTGTTAAGCCTTTCCATGGTTTCTAAGAACAAAGAAACCTCTTAATGAAGAAATTAAGTTGGTCTTAACAGCTAACCAGAAGGGCCCTGAGGATGCCTCTGACAAGAACTTTGGAGAAATGGTAATGTCTCAGAGTCCCTTGTTAATGAAGAACTTGTGAAATGAATCCTCCAGATAATATCTTATAGCTGATATTGTCAGAATATCTGACAGCAGATAATATCAAAATTCAGAGCCTGGTGCTCTTTGTGGGTGTGTATTTTACTGCTGACAATACCAGTTTTTTGTAAGTCAAGGTTATAGTCAGAATGTGTTCTTCCAGTAGAATGAGTGCCAAATTTTTTCATTCACTAGTTTGTTAATCTGCTTATCCGTTGGATCATTCAGTCATGGAATATTTACTGCATTGCCTGTTCTGTGCCAACTGCTATTAGGTGCTGAGTCTGTTCTTGTGAACTAGCCAAAGGCAGTTCCTGCTTTGATAGAATCTCTGATTTCATAAATAGGAGAGAATCACTATATGATAAGTGGCATCAAAATTACTGAACATTTTTTTCAAAATTAAATACATCTTTGTTGATTCTATTCCTGAGTTCTCAAAGGAAACAAAATCTTAGAAAATTGTAGATGTTCGTCTAGTCATTCTAAATAAGGTGTTTCTTACTAGTACTGTGCCAATTATTTTTCTAAATAATCATTGAAATAAACAAGCTGTGTATCAGGAAGCAATTTAAAGATAGAAGAATGGGGATTCTTGTTTTTCTAAATGTATTCAAGGTTCAGTGCTTTTAATAGAAAATTCCTTATGAGTAATAAAAATAAAACAAGCTCCAAGAAATAAACAAGCAAATTCAAAGGGTCAATAGATAAGAGAACTAAAAAAGATTAACTCAGCTTTCATTAATGGAAGATAATTTAAAAGCAGGTGAGATGCTTACTCTTTCCCAGCGTATTTACAGAAGTTTTGTGTCAAGGGTCTAGAAGGTCTCTGCTCTTCTCTGTGCCTTTCACCCAGCATTTACAGTCAGGAAGCTTATTCTGAGGAAATAGTAAGCTGGACACAGAATTCATTTCAAAGATCTTCATTAGGGTTTTGTTTAGTATAGTGAAAAATCGATGCAAATAAAACAATAACCACCAATCAACTTCAGCTGGTCTTCCACCATAGCTCAGCAGGTAAAGAATCTGCTTGTAATACAGGAAACACAGGAGATGCAGAATCAGTCCTGGAGTCGGGAAGATCCCCTGGAAGAGGAAATGGCAACCCACTCCCAATATTCTCCTTAAAAAACCCCATGGATAGAGGATCCTGGTGGGCTATAGTCCACGGGGTTGCAAAGAGTCAGACATGACTGAATGACTATCACAACTTCAGTTACCTCCCCCTTCCCCATCTGCACCCACCTTCTATTTAAATCTGATCCTCCTTCATGGCAGCCTGTGTGTCTTCTCAAGCAGATGTTTGCAGCTGGCACAGGGCCCACTCTACCCTCTTCTCTTAGTTCCTTCAGCTGTTTCTCTCTAAAGCTGCTAAATTTTGGTGTTTAATCTTGTGTGGCCTTTTGTATTAATGTGAACAGTCACATGCTGTTTTGAAATCTGCTTCTTTCTCTCTGCAGTATGAATGAAGCATATGTTTGTAATAAACTTCTCTATCCCAAAATCTTTACGAAGTACATATCTAAAACACAAATTCTTAGGGCAGTGGTTCCAGAAGTGTTATCTCTGAACCAGCAGCATCAGTATCACATAGAGCTTGTTAGAAATTCATCGCAGACCTGAGGGTCCCTGGTGACTCAGATGGTAGAGGTTATCTGCAGTGCAGGAGACCTGGGTTTGATCGCTGGATTGGGAAGATCCCCTGGAGAAGGGAATGACAACCAACTCCAGTATTCTTGCCTGAAGAATTCCAAGGACAGAGGAGCCTGGCAGCTACAGTCCATGGGGTCACACAGAGTCGAACACAACACACAGGCACACACACACATCTCAGACCTATTAGATCGGAAACAAATCTCCAAGTGATCTTGATGCCCGTTAAAGTCTGAGAAATGTTTCTTTGGGTATAAACCAGATATCAGGAAAGACTGTGTTCGACACCAAAAGATGGTATTTTTGTTCATTAACGGATCAGGAAACGTTGGACCTACTTTGGGTTAAGTATTTTTATTTAATCTAGTGTTACTCAAAATTATGTAAAGAAAATCTGTTTTTTAATATATGTAATGTCCATTAAAAACACAGTCTTGCTGATTGGTCTTTCTCTTCTTTCCTCTTTGTATTTCCACATGATAGACGAGTTGGATTTTATGTCAATACTTTCAAAAATGTCTCCAGCCTAGAAGCCAAGTTTCATAAGGAAATTGCAGTGGTAAGTAATGATGACATGGGGTTTTCCATATGGAATATAAAGTAGATGAACATTTATTCTGGAAGCAAATGCAATGGCACATACTAAGCAAAGAATTTACTCTCTTTCGTGTTTCTTTCAATTGTGCTTTGACTCTCAGTAGTATTTCTTCATTGTTTTGTAGTGACCACATGTTTCTATAAGTCTGGTTCAATTTGTGCTCTCATGAACCCCTGCCTACTTGTTACAATCATACAATTGTTTTTATTTTTTCAGTCAGTTTTTAAAGTTGGATTTTCAAGTCTTTAGGCCGAGGAAAATTGGTCTCTAAATAGATAGTCAGCATTTGTGTCACTGAGTAATATTTTCTTAGTTCGACAGGGTGGTTGTATCACTTTATCTCTAATAGAATCAATGTAAATAATAAGTGCATGTTTTCGCCTCTATATTCTGGTTTATATATATGTTAATTTGTGTTTGTGGCCTTACAGTTAAATTGGACCCAATTCAGACATTAAATTATCCTGAGACTATCCATGCTATCATAAGATCCTTAATGTTTCAATAAACAATTCCTTCCTGGGGGCAGTAGCCTGAATTTGCAGCAGAATGACTTACAATTAATAGACAAGTGACATCTGTCTTCCCAGCTTTGCCACAAACTGTATGAAGTGATGACGAAACTGGGCGACCAGCATGCTGACAAGGCCTTCACCATTCAAGGAGCTCCCAGGTAGGCAATGTTTCTGAAAGCCAAGTTCATGTGTGCATTCCTTGAAGGCAAAAATTGTTGAAGTTTCTACAGCCTGTACCAGCATCTTTTGCTCATCTTACAAAGGTATAAAATCAAGGAATTTTTCCATCCAGAGGGTGAAACCAGACTTAGTTCTGTGCTTTTACATTGACTTTTAGCCTTCAGCTGTATCCTCATGGACTTTTGCCCCTTCAGAGTGCTATCTACCTCTTTTTGCTTTCCAGCAATGATGTCAATTTCTTGCATATAAATTCTAGTTGTGCACTTGTTATTTTATTTGGAGAGGAAGAGAATTCCCTAAGCCCACAACAATTAGTCTTGTTATTTATTGGGTTGGCCAAAAAGCTCGTTCAGGTTTTTCTATTACCGTATTATGGATTTTTCTGTTAACATCATACATTACGAACTTTTTGGCCAACCCAATATATTGGTGTTGATACCTTTAATGAATCCTTTTTGGAAGAGGCAAAAGGAAGTAGGTGAGACCTCACCATCATCTTCCCTCCTAACTTGACCTTGCAAACACGGCATTGTTTGGGTTTTGTTGGACACTGGTTTGGTTTTATTTTGAGTGTGCCTGTCAGATTTACCAAAGGCTTAGTGATCTGTAGATGAATAGTCTACAGTGCCAGGGTTTGGATTCACAGCATCTTACTCTTATGATTTGGGAATCCCTTTTATCCATCCTTCTCAGGCGTTATGTACTCAGGCTCATTAGGCTTGGGTTGGAATTCAGAGGACTTAAATTTTAGTTTTCTGACTCTGCAGATAATTTGCTCTGCCTTCCTGGAGGAAGTTCAATAACCTTTCTGAATAAAGGGCTCATTTTTAAAATCAATAGGAATAAAAACATGCTATTGAACTAAACAACTTGTAAGGAAATACACAGTGCTGACCTGTGTTTACGATTTTAGCATCCATCAATGTATACCCACAGACCCATGCATTTATAAAAACACAGTGCTCTTACACAGGCACTGCTGCCTCCATGTATTAGTGTTTGGAACCTTCTGGAAACAGCTAATCTTCTGATTTGATGCTATTTGGTATAGATGTACATGTAGTCCCTACCCTGGCTGCTATACTAAGTGAGCATTAAGTATATTGTCTTTGAACATTGCCTAAAAGAAGACAGGAAAGGGACAGAACTATTGTGTCCAAACTGAGAACGGAATGTAATAAGAATATCACAATGACTTTTGGGTGATTTAGGAAGGAGGTACACGGGGAAGGCGGCTCCCTTATACAGAGATGAAGGCTCAATGGATGCATGTATATGTAGGGCTGAGCTGCATCGCAGTTCACCTGAAACTACCACAACGTTATTATCTGCTATGAAAGTGAAAGTCGCTCAGTTGTGTCCGACTCTTTGTGATCCCATGAACTATTCAGTCCATGGAATTCTCCAGGCCAGAATACTGGAGTGGGTAGCCTTTCCCTTCTCCAGGGGATCTTCCTAACCCGGGGATCGAACCCAGGTCTCCCGTATTGCAGGCAGATTCTTTACCAGCTGAGCCACAAGGGAAGTCCATTATCTGCTATACCCCAATACAAAATAAAAAGTTTAAGGTTTTGGGTGGGGGGAAAGATATCTGGAAATTTCGATGCTGCTGAATCAGATACAATGAAGAGAAAATGGGGCCACGACCACTTAACAAATGTTTTTCATTTTTTTCAACGTTCCTCTGCAGAACGAGGTGGTGAGTGAGCTCAGTGGGGCCTCCATTAGGCATAGACTGGTGGCCGTGCTTCCCAGGGGAGACCATGATTGGCAAGGTTCCAATCATGTGTGTGTCCATGTCCTGTCCACGGGACCCATTCCCTCAGCCCATTGAATCTGTAGACCCTCCTGCTGTGTACGTGCTCATTTATTTGGGGGTACAGACTTGTTCCCTCAATCTGTAGAGTTTAGAAATTCTTAGAGAGTAGGATGTGTCCCCAGTGGTGGATTAACCATTGCATTTGGGCTGATCATGAGCATCTGGCCTGGGGCCGGGAGCATGGTGGGCTCTCAGTAAACATTACAGACTCTCATCCATCACATAATTCATTTGCACATGTCTGAATTGAGTTATTGTGCTCTAAGGTGTAGAAAGAGAGACAACAAGTTAATTTCTAAATATTATCAGAAAGCTCGCCTACCAAATCTTAATGAACATTGTCCTGGGGATGCCTTTTAATAGCCAATTTATCACTTGATGGGGCAGGGCAGGTTCTGCTATAGATTATGCCATAGCAAGTTTCTCTTATAAATCAAAAGTGAAATTAGTTCAATTAATTCAGCTTATGTTTGGAAGATTCTTGCAGAGCCTATTTGGCTCAGTGGGAAGAATAGGAGTTCAAATTACTAAGGCCTGAATTTGGATCCACGAAATTTGCCAGTGACGTTAAGGATTTTTTATCCTCTCTGTGCCCCACTTTACTTACATGTAAAGTGGAGACAGTTATGCTTTGGGTCTTGTGACCAGTGGAGGTAATGTATGAATGGGATCTTGCAGACAGTGGACAATAAATGGCACCAGTTATTGCATCACCGTTACTAATAACCAGGATGAATGGGAAGAGGGAGTAGATAACGAGTAGCTCCCGTCATGCCTGAGGACTTCTGTGAGAAGGAGGGCCCCTGAGAAATAAGGACCGCTCTGTAGAAAGCGCCTTGCTCACCCTCTGTGTTCGTTCAGCGACTCGGGTCCTCTTCGTATTGCAAAGACGCCTTCGCCACCTGAGGAGGCTTCACCCATCCCAAGCCCGACAGCAAGTCCTAATCACACGTTGGCACCTGCGTCTCCCGCACCAGTCAGACCTCGGTCACCCTCGCAGGTAGGAAGACGTCACGTGTATGAGGGGGACCGGAAGAAGCCAGGCTGAGTTGACCCCACCTGGGATAACCCCGTGGGGTGCGGTCATTGACAAGAGTTTTTAGTGTGAGCCTTGGCCATTGGGATCATCACTGAGGAATAAACTTCCCTTTTTTTACTCAGATTTTTATGTTTCCTCACATACCCTCTGCGTCAGTGGGTTGAGACATCTCTCTCCACGATCTCAACTTCCTGAGGCTTGCATGATCTCCTCTTCTCAGCATCCTGCACTTTTTAGACTCTGTTGAATCCTACTTTCTCCACGTGGCCTCCTTCCTGTTAGTCTTTAGGTCACACCTGGAGCAAGAACGGCCATGGTGTTTATGTCAGTTCACATTTGATTTTTTGTATCACCCGTGGTATATTGTGCACGCTCAGCAAAAGTGATGGAACAAGTGATTGAAAGAAACAGAAAGGGCCAAGCAAAGGCAAATATAGAGAAAAACAGCCACCCTTATTGTTCCTTCTTTTGGAGAAAATGAAATTCCTGTTGGGAAACTTGAAGTGTCTAATCCAGCTCAGGCTTTCTTGTGTATGGTTGAAACTAAAGATCGTTGCGAAAAGATGTGAATAATGGATACTACAGTGCTTATTTGTTATTTATTCGCAAAGTCATGTCTGATTCTTTTGCGACCCCATGGGCTGTAACCAGCCAGCCTCCTCTGTCCATGGGATTTCCCAGACAAGCATACAGGAGTGGGTTGTCATTCCCTTCTCTGGGGGATCTTCCTGACCCAGGGATCAAACCTGAGTCTCCTGCATAGGAGACTGAATCTTTACTTTGCTTTATTGGCAGGCAGATTTTTTACTGCTGAGTCACCTTTCCAAAATACTGGAGTGCAGAATGAGGTGTATGCTGCCCATGGTGGTCTCCTCACTGACTCTAGTGAAATCTTGCCTGATTTTAGCTCTAGAATTCTAATGTGCTGCTGAAGGGAGAAATCATTTGCAGTTAACTTTGGAGAAGGTATGGCATTAGTTTGGGCTTCCCAGGTGGCACTAGTGGTAAACAACCTGCCTGCCAATATAGGAGACATAAGAGACGTGGGTTCAATCCCTGGGTCGGGAAGATCCACTGGAGGAGGGCATGGCAATCCACTCCAGTATTCTTGCCTGGAGAACCCCCATAGACAGAGGAGGCTGGCTGGCTACAGTCTATAGGGTCAGACAGTCGAACATGACTGAAGCGACTTAACCTGCACGCACGTATGGCCTTATTTTAACTTGAGAGGCACAGGTACGTGGCCCTGCAGTGCTGTGATATAGCACTTGTGTTAAGATGGATGGAGTCTCATGGCCTGAATTTTCCTCGTTGGACCATTACTTGTCACACCATAGCTACAGGACCCATCCAAGCAGGCATTCTTTGCCTGAATCAGGTGGGCTGATTTCTCAGTGCAGGCCAAAATTTGAATCAGGGATCAATCTCATCCCCTGGCTCTGTTCCCAAGACATTTTTGCATGTCTCCTGTGCCATCTTCCGCTGAATTAAACCCTGTTTGTTTGTGTGTGATGTTTCTTAGACAAGGAAAGGGCCTCCTGTCCCACCTCTTCCTAAAGTCACCCCAACGAAGGAGCTACAGCAGGAGAACATCATCAGTTTCTTCGAGGACAACTTTGTTCCTGAAATCAGTGTGACCACACCTTCCCAGGTGAGCACCTGGAGCAGAGCTGGGATGTCCATGGACGCTCCATGGCAGCGGGACTCTCAGGGCTCAGCTCTGGAGAAGGTGGCAGATGTGAGAGCCAATGGTAAAATTCAGTTGTTATTCAGGTTTGCTTTAATTACCTGATATATCTGAAGGGTTCTCAAGTGAGAGATGTACAGTATTTGAAAAGACTCCTTCTTTCCATTGTTAAGAGCTGTGCATCATTACTATAGAAAGTTGGGAAAATACTAAAAAGTGTAAAGAGAAGAATTTTAATAAGCCCTTAAATCTTAGCACTCTGAAATAGCCACTGGTACATTTAGGTTTGTGTGCTGTGTGTGTTTAGTCACTCAGTCATGTCTGACTCTTTGCAACTCCATGGGTTGTAACCTGCCAGGCTCCTTTGTCCATAGGATCCTCCAGGTAAGAATACTGGAGTGGGTTGCTATGCCCCACTCTAGGGGATCTTCCCAACCCAGGGATCGAACCCAGGTCTCCCTCACTGCAGGTGGATTCTTTACCATTTGAGCCACCAGAGGTTTATTTTCTTTTAATTTTTTCTAAATATATATCAAATTTTGCAGCGCAAAATTCAGATTGTATTGTTGTATATTCCTGACTTTTCTGTTTAATCTTATTGAGCATTTTTTTCATCTCATAATATTGTCTTTTCCAAAAAAATCAAAGTTTGACCAGAGTATTTTATCAGATGAATGTAACCAACCCCTGATGGTGGTCACACTTCCACTTTTTTGTTACTTTATCAGCACCTTGGTGATATCAATATATATTAATACAGAAGTGTTAAGTGTTAGTTGCCCAGTTGTGTCTGACTCTGCAACCCCATGGACTGTAGTCCACCAGGCTCCTCCATCCATAGAATTCTCCAGGCAAGAATACTGGAGTGGGGTGCTGTTTCTCTCTCCAGGGGATCTTCCTGACCTAGGGATCAAACCCAGGTCTCCTGCATTGCAGGCAAATTCTTTACTCTCTGAGCCACCAGGGGAGCCCTAGTGTATATTATTACATGTTTGCACCTTTAATTATTTTTTTCATATTGCTCCTTAGTAAAGAATAGGAAAATGAAATTCAAAGAGGTGAATATTAAGTCTTTTGACCTTTAGTAGGAGTAAATGGATCCATTTACGTGACTTGGCAAAGAGAACCACCTGTGTTCCCCCTGGTTTCAAAGACACCTGGGTGTGTGTACCCATTTATAGCGACCCTCGATGTTATACCTACACCTGTCCCAGCTTGGTTTTCCTTTGCCTCAAGGATAATCTTGACTTAGCTGCTCCTCATGTCATCAAAGCCATCTCTTTGTTAAGAGTGAATGTCCCCAGAGATCATGCCAATACCATTTCCTCCTGGTATTCTCACAGTCATAAATAATTTTAACATTTTGCAAGGGGTGCAAACATAACATTGTAATTCCTGAGTACATAAATAACTGCTCTATGTCCAACATCCCAATTACAGTTGCATCCTATCAATAATAACAGAAATCATGTACTAAAAACGGGGTTCAGAAAATAAAAACTTAAAAGTAATGCAGTGGGATGCCATAATTTCTCATCTCTCTCTAGAGGGTGTTTATGGATCAGTGCAATGCCATTTGCTATTGTTTTCCTTCTCCTGTTGTTTGTAGGAGATTTGAATTTGGTAAGCTAATTAGGGCTTGAAATGTGATTTAGTAGCTCCTTTGAGGAACGGGAATTGCATGTTTATCAGTGCATGGACCAGTAATTTCTGTGGATACACAGATGCCACCAGGGATAGTGGTCTTAGAGCCAAATGATCTTACCCAGCATCCACCGTGGCCCTAGCACCAAACTGGAGAAGTTTTCTCATCCAAGTTGTTCTGTGCCTTTGTACTTCTAACAGCTCGTTCTGTTTTTAGCTTCATCAGTTTTAAAGTGAGAGTGTTTTAGAGTGATAAGACCCTTACTAAAGTTGCTTTCAACTTGACCCCTCAAGAGCATCCTCTCAGTTCCATCTCCAATAAAGAATATGCTCGCCCAGAAGCCGTGTGTGCTTAGCTGAGGACATCTCCATGTAGCAGCCAAGGCCACTGAAGTAGAGAAAATGGGACAAGTAGACTAGTTCTGAAGTGAAGACGGGGTTCAAAGATGTTCTTTCTTTGAATAGTGTTTTTTTATTTGCAGTTTGCTGGGTCACATAAGGGTCCTTCACAGTGGCAGGCGGGGGGGAAGAATCAAAGCACTTTTAAAAAGTACAGATGCCAGAAGAGGTGCCTAAGTCCTTCTAAGAGGGTTAACTTTGGCTGGTGTCATCGAGTGAGGGAGATTGATGAGCAAAATCAAGAGTTAGGGGAGAGGGCGCGGAGGCACTTGTCAACCCTGAAACGTCTCCAGCTGTGGCCGCTGCAATGACACAATCAGCGGATGGCCCCGTCCTTGCCCCAGCTTGGCTAGCCTGTGTTCAGGCTCCCGGGCTGTTGGAGTGGAAAGGAAAGGCGTCTCCCCACTAGCACCATTTCTAACTTACTGGCTGGGTCAAGTCCACCAGCGTGCCAGGGACTTTGAAGGAAGTAACCCCCAGAGACATTATGGGGGTGCCTTTGGGGGCATTTATCTTGATATGTGTTGTTTTCTTTTAATCTGGGGAGGAGGCAGAAGAGGGTTTCTATCTTTTTTTCTGGGTCTAAGTGGCAACACGGCTGTAGCAGGTGAACCCCAGTGTATTTGATGGGGTCAGATGATGGAAATGAGTCGAAGCATTTCCATCGACCCGGTGGCTGTGAGTCTCACGTCACCATGTTAAGAGCAAGGGTAAGGCAAGGATTTATATTTCAGTCTGCTTGCTCCCTTATTGAAGGATATAATCTAGCTTTATTTAATTTTATTCATTTTTTCTTTATAGAAGTATATTTGATTTACAGTGTTGTATTAGTTTCTGGTCTACAGCAAAGTGATTCGTGTGTGTGTGTGTTAGTCACTTAGTTGTGTCCAACTCTATGTGACCCCAAGTTCCTTAGCCCACCAGGCTCCTCCATCCATGGGATTTCCCAGGCAAGACTACTGGAGTGGGTTACCGTTTCCTTTATATATATATATAATATATATATTACAGTTTATATTACATTATATATATATTTTATTTTTTTTTTATATTATATATATATTACATTATATATATAAATATATGAATATATAAAAATTATATATATTCTTATATATAAATTATATATATTATAATATATATATATATTCCTTTCAATCTTCCTTTTAAAAATGTTTACTAAAAATCCACTTCCTTACAGTATCTGGTGGGGGGAGAATGAAAGATTATTTGAGAAACTCTGATTTAAAAAAAAATAAACAGGGATTTTGTCGCAGAAGTTCTCAGAGCCTGAACTTTTTTGCTTTTTCTTTGTGAAAAAGCAAAAGGAGATGCAGCCCTCCCAGCCTCCTATGACCAAGGGGATCTCAGGGGACTAGATGGAAAATGCTGTTTTCAAAGAATAATGCAGGTGTGCGCATACGCCCACACGCCCACACAAAGGATCTTTTGTTTTACTTAAGTCGCTGGGAGTTAAAAATAGGGAGGGATGGAAATATATATATATTATATATTCCTTCATGTATATATTATATATATTTATATATGTTTTATTTTAATATTTTTAAATGTTTAATGAGTCATTTTAGATTTAGCAAATAGGTTTGCATCCTCAGGTTGCTATTTTTATCATTTGCTTAATGGGGAAGAAAAGGATTTGTATGAATCCCACCCAGAAGTTCAAGATGTGATGAATGAAACATCGCTTGACTCTAATGGATGTATTTCATACACCCTGCTTCATCACAGCGATAATTCTCTCTGGAGTGTGTCCTGGGGCTAGAAGCAGAAATCCTTCAGGTCTACAGAGCCCTCTAACGGCGTAAACCTTAACTGTAGCATGTGGACTCTGGAAATACGTATATTTCCCAGAATCTTCTCTGGAAGTAGCCATATCTATGGACAGGCACTTGCCTGCCTGTCTAGACCACAAGGCTGATTTTGTTTTTCTGGTTCTGTGTTTACAGAAGTGGACCTGCCACAGGACATACCCATCCCTCCCTATTTTTAACTCCCAGCGACTTAAATAAAACAAGAGATCCTTTGTGTGTGTGTTTGTGTGCGTAGGCGCACACCTGCATTATTCTTTGAAAACAACATTTTCTATCTAGTCCCCTGAGATCCCCTTGGTCATAGGAGGCTGGGAGGGCTGCATCTCCTTTTGCTTTTTCACAAAGAAAAATCAGAAAAGTTCAGGCTCTGAGAACTTCTGCAACAAAATCCCTGTTTACTTTCTTTAAATCAGTGTTTCTCAAGTAATCTCTCATTCTCCCCCACCAGATCCTCTAAGGAAGTGGATTTTTAGTAAACATTTATAAAAGGAAGATTGAAGAGGTCCCTGGAAACCAAATTGTGGCAAAAAAAATTAAGATTTTAACAGACCAAGACCAAAATAACACAATCATGTATATACATGTATATATGTGTGTGTGTAAACATATATGTGTATATAAGTGCACACACACACTTATATATGTTTGTGTATATATATAGATACATATGTGCTTCCCTGGTGCCTCAGTCATTAAAGAATCCATCTGCAACGCAGGAGACCTGGGTTCTATCCCTGTTTTGGGAAGATCCCCTGGAGAAGGACATAGCAACTCGCTCCAGTATTCTTGCTGGAGAATCCCCATGGACAGGGGAGCCTGACAGGCCACAGTTCATGGGGTCGCAAAGAGTCGGACACGACTGAGCAGCTAAGCACAGCACGTATATATGTACATACATGATTGTGTTTTTGGTCTTGATCTCCTATTAAAATCTTCCTGCTTTTTATACAGGTGGTCGGGGGGCTCTCCTTATAAACAATCTGAGTCACGTGACATGAGCACATCGGCAGCATCCTAGTGGCCAGTCTCATGGGGTCCCCTGAGTGAAATGACGTGCTGGCCAGCAGGAACAGTCTGCTCACCAGCCAC